TTGGAGGATTTCAGTGTTACACCAACTTTCTTTTCTTGTTTCTCTCTTATTATTCCATTATCATCTTATAAGTAAGAAAAGATCTATTAAGTTAAGTAAGAATGTAACAACCCGGAAAAAATAATAATAAAATAAAATAAAAGTTAATCAATTTGGTGAAATTTAAGGGCCAAATTAAAAGTTTTCAGAGTTTGTAAGCCATTTTAGAAGTTGAAGAAAATTCAAGGATCTAACCCTGAATTTGACCATTTTGTGTCGACAGAGAATCCTCATAAATGCATGAATTTGGTTTCTATTTGCAAAACCAGAAACCAAATTCACAAATATTTTCTCCCCGCACCCCTCTTTTGAGCTCCGATTTCTCCATCGTTTGGCCATCGTTTGTCGATCTAAAACCACCATCGTGTTTGTCGTCAATCGGTGAACAAAACCCCATAAACCTCTCGTCTTGAAACGTTATCTAACACCGTGAATTTCGATTAAAGTTTCAAAGTTTTTTTAACACCACCGCCATGAAAATCGTCGATTCATCGTCGATCATTGCTCCGTTTTCGACACCTCTCGCACCATCATGTTCCTTATGTCGTTCCGAGTCCACTGGTGTCCTTCTTGTCTCCGTTTTCATCGGCGCGTCAGGGAGATGAAGAAGTTAAAGTTTATGAATTTTTAAAATCGAGCTCTCCGTCGTTCAAAATTTTGAACCGAGCTTGGTAATTGTCTCAAAATCCTATAAAATAATTTTAGAAATTTTTCTGGAATTTTTCGGGACTCCCAGGCCACCGCACACGGCCCCACGCGCGTGGGGAATGTCCAACGCATGGTGGGCAGATTTGAACCATTGACTGACCCGACTGCCGACCCGATCCGTTGATCGTTGACCATTGACTATTGAATTTGACAAAATAGTCAAAATTTTTGAAAAGTCATATTTTATGTTTTTTGACGTCCTGAGTCTAATTTCGAAGTCCGTTTTGTCAAATTCAAACCCAAAAGCCTCCGAATTGACCCTTAAACCCGAAAATTGCATATTTATCTCTATGTTTTAATTCAGTTAATTAAACTGAATGGTCAAGGACTAATTATTGTTATGATATGTTAAAAGGTACTCGGGGATCTCCTGACTGTTTCACTGTTCGACCCGATTCCTCCCGATCTGCTCGTCCACGAGAGGTCGTGAATACTTGTATAGTTCTGTAATCATGTTAGTTATTATGTTTATAATATTATTGTGAATATGACCTTGTTCTAATATGGCTTAGGTTCTCGTTCAGTCGAAGAGCCTAGTGAAGTTGGTGCTCGATAGATCTTCCGGACTGACCCTATTATCGAGGTGTATTCCTTGTGTGCAGTATAAATGTTTTTAAATATCTGTTTGAAATCTCATGTGCTCATGATTGTTTTTTCTGATTTGAAATACAATGTTTGATCTGATTTGATTACTGTATGATTTACATGATTGTGTGCTCTTGAATCGACGATTTTTACAACAGTGGTGTTAAAAAAACTTTAAACTTTGAATCAAAATTCACGGTGTTAGATGACGTTTCAGGACAAGAGTTTTACGGGGTTTTGTTCACCGGTTGACGACGAACACGATGGTGGTTTCGAATCGACGAACGGTAGCCGGACGGTGGAGAAATTGGAGCTCAAAGGAGGGGTGCAGGGAGGAAATATTTGTGAATTTGGTTTCTAGTTTTGCAAAGAGAAACCAAATTCACGCATTTATGAAGGAGTCTCTGTCGACACAAAATGGTTAAATTCAGGGCTAGGTCCCTGAATTTCCTTCAACTTCTAAAATGGATTACAAACTCTGGAAACTTTTAATTTGGCCCTTAAATTTCACCAAATTTATTAACTTTTATTTTATTTTATTATTATTTTTTTCGGGATTGTTACAAAGAATGAGAGTCTTTAGATTTTTTCTTAAAATATTATTACTTTCTTTTTATTGAATAGTCTGAGGTGATTACAAGGTAGTATCTATTCATAATCTTTGTTAACCATTGATAATGCACATACACCCTACAAATATAGTTGCTAGAACGTAGAACCTCAAGAGAGAATAACACTTCTATTAACCACTGAAACTACTTGATAAGTTCCTGTAGTCTTCTTCGCTTGTTAAGACTTTGAAAGCTACGTAGCATCTTCCTTACAACTTTTTCATTTAGAATTGGTTTCCCATATTCTTTAAGAACATTGATAATGATAATGAATCTATCATACATTGTCTTGGTATCTTCATTAAGTTTCATCTTAAAATGTTAATAGTTGAAAGTAAAAAAATCGATCCTTTTTTTTTCTATTGATAACCTCATGAGTGACTTTTAATTTATCTTAAATCTCTTGAAAATTTGAATAAGAGGCACTTCCATACTCATCCAAGTCAAAAGCACAAAATAAAATATGCATAGCCTTTGTAATTTAGTTGGAATCAATTCTTCTCTTCCCCACTCCACTCCTTCATTTCCTTGTTGGAGTAGAATGACCTTTCATTGTGATTTCTCAAGCACCAAGATCAGTAGATTAAATGAATAACTTCATTTTATTCTTCCAATAAATATAATTAGCTCTATGGAGGTTTGTTATGAATTAGGGATCTTCATGAAATAAGAATTAGAGGTGGAAGCCATATTTAAGGTTGATGTAGAAATTGTTAGAGCCCTCTAAGGACTTTCTCAATGTTATTAACCTATTAATAGAGACTCACTTTGATACTAATCGTTAATTTGATCAATCAACAAAATAGTATCAAGAAATGGTGAATTAGCTCTTTAAAATTTTCGTGAAAGTTATAAAAATTATATATATGTATATATATAATACTTTAGAATGGTTTAATTTTTAAACCAAGTATAGATACACTATTTTAGTTATATGCTACCTTAGAATTTTCTTAAATCTAATAGATTTGTTTATCTTTGAAGATAATATGTAACTTTGAAACAATTTATTAAGGTTTATTCCTCAAAACTTTAAGAACACTCTCCCTCGAGAAATATAAATTAGCAAATTGAAAATAATATAGCTGTTGATTTGTAAAGAACACTTTAGGGTAAAAGTACATTTTTAAGAACACTTATGTCGATTATAATATATTTTTATTATGTAATAATTATATTTGGTAAAAGTATTAGGATAATGGTTTGAAAACAAATGGTTTATATAGGACGATGGAGAAATTATTTTCTTAATTAGGGTAGAATGAATAATGTAGGGGGAAGTCGGCCGGATCATTTGGTGATTTTATGAAGTCGATCGAACTACATGGCGTCTAGATCGGACTATACAGAGTAGCGAAAGACATGCATGGAGGATGAAGGGAAGACGTCATATCTTCCATGTGTCTTTTAGAAGACGTGAAGTGGTTCGATCGATTTTTCCCTGCGTTATTTATTAATTTCCCCAGCACCCTATATGAGCCATTATATTTTTTTCCAAACTATTATCCCAACAATTTTATTAGTTATAATTGAAGTATTTGATATCATATAATTTTTAATATTTTAATAATTAAATTATATAAAATTTAATATATTACTTTATCAATATTATAATTGATATTTTTGGTATATAATTTTCTTAATAGTCCTATAATGATTATAAGGTAGTATTTTTTTCAAAAGTTTTCTTAATGACAACGTACATAAACCCGTAGACATAAATGTTTGAAGTAAAAACTTGTTGAGAGAACATAACTCCTTTTAAACACTTTGGTTACTTGATACTTTTAATATATAAAATTAGATTACATTGTTATGGAAGTAATGTATAAATCAACATTTTTAAATAATTACAAACCAAGAATGTTGAATTATTAGTGCAAATTTTGTTTTTTCAGTTCACGGGTATTTGTTTTTGCTTCTTTATTTATATATTATTAATTTATGCAAAAGGTTTGGAAATTATTGTATGGAGGTTCATCCACCAACCAACCATCCCCTTCTTCCATTTCGTCTGCCCAAAATATCTGTATATAATATTATATAGGGTCTTTAATTGAATTAATTTTACGAATTAAAATTACATTAATTTAATAAAAAAGTTTTCTGAAATGATAATAAATATTATCATTTATATATTTTTAAATAAAATAATCAAAGATTTAAATATTCAAAATTTCAAATTTTATTTAATAAAAGTTACATACAAATCTTTTAATATTTAATCTATATTTTTTTATTAAATAAGTTATTATATAGAATATTATTTGTTGAAAATAAATATTTGACATTTAATGTGCATTGTGTGGTCCGCAAGTCACGTGTAGCCAACGAACCGCCTGATAGTGAATACTTTAATTAATTTTCATTTGATTTATCAATAAATTTTAGGATAAACGATAAATATGATCCCTTAATTATAAAATATTTTTATTTAAGTTATTTAATAATAAAATATTATAAAATACTTATTTAACTAATAAAAATATAAAATGATCAATTATTGTCAAATTTTTAATACATATGATATGATGATAGTCTAAATTTATATATTAGTCAATATAATGTAAATTAAATTAAACAAGAACTCGTTTATACTAATAAAAAATAGAATTGTTTTACAACTCCAATATACTTTTATAAGATTAAGATTTTCGATAGTCATATTTTAAATAAATTTATAATATTTAATTATATGATTTATATAAAAGTTTAATCATTAAATATATTTATAAAATAAATATTTGTTTAAAAAACTCGAATAATTTAAAATACAATTAATCCTATTTAGAATTAAATTTTGATCTAGTATAATGTTTTAACTGATGCCTCCTTTATCTATTATTTTAACACAAAATATTATTTTATAATAAAAATAATGGTAATTAATTTAACTAAGTATAAAAGCTTAATTATTAATTTAATTTAATAATATTAAAAAATAATTGATTATGAGAAAAGGCTGTTCATCTTCTTCCCAAGAATCCTAGTGATGAAAATGTTAACAACCATAAAAGGAACTTGAGTGAATTGAGCATATGATATAAAGTGCTGCTACACAATTAAAGGATATTCATAACAGTATATGAAGAAAGAAAAAGCAAAAACCACTCAAATTTCCTGGTTTTCACCTTCTCTCACACAGAAGAACATCAAACACTTAGAGCGAGCTTTCCATTTTTAGCTGGTTATGCAGGCCACTAGACAGTTGAACTACCCCTGTTTCTTTCGAGTGAGCCAATTAAACCTATCCCCTTTATTCTCCCTATCAACTCCAGCTTATTGCAATAGGACTGCCCACAATATGCTTCCCATCAGACCATTCCAAACGACCGAAGCTGTTCCTATTGCTTGGCTGTGAACTACCGCTGAACGTCACTGTATATGATTTCTTCTCGTTTGCTTGGCTGAAACTCAAACTCTCTGGCTCAACTGATATCTTAACACCCGGAGTTTCACTTTCCGGTGACATCCACACCTTGTAAGTCCCTGGCGACCCCACATTTGTGAGGGTTCTAGTGTGTTTAACCACAGTCGAGCCACCCGTGACTGAATCGAAGTTGACAGCAAACGAAGGGTAGTTAAGATCAGTAACTCTGTATCTCTTACTCGCATCACATGAGAAATTCCTCCTTGCCAATGATCTGATTTGGAACTCGGAGTAGTTTAAGGCACAAAGGAAACCCAGATAATCTTCCACTGCTAAATCATACACAAGCCCCGGGTTAAGTGCTGAAACAGGATCCACATGTCCAGCACCGTGATCGAACGGGGTGGATGGTTTCCCGGTAGCGATATCTTGCATTTTCTGCTTGTTTTTGTATTCTGTGTAAGCTGTGGTCATGAGAGCTGATCTTATAGCTGCTGGGCTCCAATCCGCGTGAGCCGCCTTGAGAAACCCTGCAAGGCCACTAACATGTGGGCAGGACATTGAGGTTCCCGAGATAATGTTGAAATCCACTCGTCTGGTATCCGTAGCTAACCCCGTTGGACCTACGGCGCCCGACCACCCTGCTAAAATGTTAACCCCTGGAGCAATCATGTCTGGTTTCAATATGTCGGGAGTTATGGAATTAGGCCCTCTTGAACTGAAAGCAGCCACCACCGGTGATGGCTCAATACCAACTTTGGTTCCTTCAAAGATAATTGTAACAGTTGGGTTAGGGTTTGAAAACAAGTAATCTTTTATAGAATCACCGGATTTTTGACCCACGGCGGTTGCAGGAAGCAAATGTGCGTCAGCTACAAGCTCTTCACCGTTCGCGGCGGTGTTAGACAACACCATGCCTAAACCACCGGCTGCTTTTACGACAGCTCCCTTTTGAACCCTGGCATTCACCCCGCGATCACATAGAACGATTTTTCCGGCAACCTTTTCTGGTATCAAAGTACCCATCATGCACAAATTCCCGTTCGTAGCATTGCTGGCATTACCGGCATAAACAAATGGCAGCATTTTGCCAGGCAAGGGGTTGCCTCGGTAAAGCGACACACCGGAGTAGTTTCTGCCATTTCCGAGGCTAACGAAAGAAGGGAAATCACGATCCAATGTACCGGCGCCGACGGTTGTGATCCAAGGAGCCACGTTTGATAAACTGTAAGCACTCGGACCAGCATTTCCGGCCGAGCAAGAAACTAAAATCCCCTTCTCCATAGCAGCAAAAGCTCCGATTGCAACACTGTCCCTGTAGTAATCCGACATGCCGCCACCGAGTGACATTGATAGTACATTAACGTTGTCATCAATGGCCTTTTCCATGGCAGCCAAGATGTCCGAACTGAAACATCCACCTGTCCAACAAACCTTGTAAACCGCAACTCTGGCGCGCGTGGCCATTCCACGCGCCGTCCCCTCGGCGTACCCGAACAAGCTAGCTCCTTCGACGACCGACCCTGCAGCCGTGGAGGCCGTATGAGTACCATGTCCGTCATCATCTCGAGGTGATTTAGATTCCTTGGACTCATCGATTGGACCCAAGGCAGCCTCATACCCTCTAGCAAAGTACCTCGCGCCTATCAATTTTCTATTGCAATTCGATAAGGTGAAATTGGTGCCTGATTCGCACGCGCCTTTCCAGCTTCTTGGTATTGGTCCAAGCCCTGTATCGACGAAGCTCTTACTTTCAGGCCAAACACCAGTATCTAACACACCAATGACAACTTCACTCGCCGAGTCAGACTCGGGGAACAAATCAGCAGCTTTACTGAGTCCAAGAAACTCAGGTGTACGAGTGGTGTGCAACTCGTATCTTAACTCGGGCAAAACTGCAAGGATCCCCGGTTGGCTCTCGAGTTGCTTAGCTTCTGCGTAGGTTAGCTGAGTAGAGAATCCATGGATAACGTTGTCGTAGGTATAAAGCATTTTAGCAGAGCCGGACACGGATTTCAAAGACGAGTCATACCAGTGAGAGTGGTGCTGAAAACTCGTTGGCATCTCGGATTTAGCCATGTGCACGATGTAAGTCTTCCTGCGGCTCTTCTCCTTCCCCGATGGTGCAGCCATGGACAAGTGGTAGAAACCCAGAAGCAAAACAATCATAAAACACTTAACCGTCTCCATTTTTGTTCACTCTCTTTTTCACCAGAAAGAGAGGAAAGCAATAGAGATGAAAACCGAAATAAAGTTCTTGATTTTATATAGAAAAACAAAGGAAACAGATAAGAATCATTGAGCTTTGTTTAGCCTTTTTTTAATGGAAAAAAAGGAGAGAGTAACGTGTTCGTAGGGACGGTGGTGGGTGTCTTGTTCTTTGAATGATTGGTTTTGAAGAAAAGAAAAAGAGTGATGGAGGTTAAGAGGTGATACAGGATATTAACTTTGTTTCACATGACTTCATGTCTTCGAGGAACTGAAATGACTCTCTCTCTTCCCCCACTGTAATGCTGATTACCTTTATCTTTTTGCAGAAGGGGCATAGAAAAAAGCAATAATTGAGGGTAAAAGAGTTAAAAACTTTATCCTTTTAATTTTTTTCTTCCTTCAATTACACACTTTTAGTTGCATTCAAAGAAATTTTAAATTCAAGATTCATAGTAAATAATATTTTAATAACGTTTTCGTATTTCAAGTTTTGGTGGGTGATGTGAGAAAGAAAATGCGAAGGCCAGAAAAGTATACCAAATTAAAGGTTCACTTTTTCTTATTGATATATTAGATAGAAGGATGAAAGAGTTGTAAGAACATACAATATTCTTTTTATGAACTTTAATTTACATTTTTTTCTCTAATTTTTTATCGCTTTTATATGTAACAATGGTAAATGATTCTCTCTCTCTCTCTCTTTTTCCCTTATTCTTTTATCAATTACATTCAAAATTTATATTTTCTTCGCCTCTTGATTGAGTTTTGGATACGTGAGGCTTTTGTATTTAAAAAAAATCCATATAATCTTCATATTTTTCACCCCATTCGTCCTTCAACTTAAAAAGCAAATATAATGTGGTCATTTAATCAACGATTTCCGCTTAAAAAGCAAATATAATGTGGTCATTTAATCAACGATTTCCGTCATTGAATGTTATGGTGTTGACGTTACACTTCACGAATTAATAAAATTAGTAAAATTGATTTCCAAAGACTTTTAGAGTTTAAGATAATTAAAAGTAAATATATAAAATAAAATTTGTACATGATAGATAAGTTCATGGTTACATAAATAAAAGTCAAGTTAAATTTGAGGTAAAAATAATAATATATTTTTAATTTTTTTAGTAGTTTTTTTTGAATATTTTTGTATTCTAAATTAAAAAATTTATTTTTTATGAAAAAATTTGAATAAGCCCTTTAAATATTTAAATAAAATCAATTTGAACCTCAAACTCGACCGAAAAAAATTAATTTAACATATCTGTTGCATCATTAGCCATGTAACCAGCCACCATGGACTGCCACATCAGAATCACAATAGTCAATGATGAAAATTGTTGGTCAAAGGGTCACATTGGGTTTATTTTCTAAGTACGATGGCCGCATCAGCTTTTTTTTTTATAAATATAAGAGCCTCACATACCCTTCTTACCATGAGTTTTTCTAATTTTTCATTCAACCAAATAAAGTTTAATTTTTTAAAATAAAATGTGATATTTTATCAATGTATTGGAGAGCCAATCTAATTTTGTTCTATGTCGAAACATTGCTGATAATATAGTCATTGCACAAGAGGCGATTCATTCCATGTGATGGAAAAAAGGGAACATCGATTGGATGAAGATTAAAATTAACCTTGAAAAGGCTTACGACAGGCTTGAATGGTCTTTTATTGATAACACATTTTGATAGGGGATGGTAGTAAAGTGATGAACGTTGCTCGAAGTTGAATAATCAAACTTAGGGATCTAGACTCAGTCAAGGAACGAGATTGAATATATATTAGGGTTTTGGCATAACTTAGGGTTCTTGAAGACGAAGTTGCTGGAAATCAAACAAGAAGACTACGATTAAAATATAAAGGATAATATATAATAAATATGTAAAAATAATTATGAAAAGATAGATAAAATAATGAAAAAACTTGAATGGAAAATTCTCTCTAGTATGTATAGTTTCGGTGATAAGATGGATATGGTGATGTAATTATTGTGTGATGATGATAATGATAAGGATGAAAGATAAATGTACTACGAACCCTTCTAATCGCAATTGACTAGGCAAATTTGATAATCGGCTCTAATCAGCCCTCCTAATCGCAAAGAAAAGACCAACTGGAACGTAAAGATCTCCTTCACGAAGAACTTGAAATAACTTAATGATGAATACTACTTCGAAGGCACAAGGGTAAAAACAAACTCTCGTTGTATTATATTCAACAAAAGATGTGATTACAATGGTGGGAGGAGCCTTCTTTATATAGGATAGGGAGTCAATGTTGTAACATGACTAATGAATAAAATAATTATAAATTAAAGATAATGTTTCGATTCTATCATAATTCTTAATAAAATAATAATAAACTAAGAATAATGTTTTAACTCGATCTTAATTCCTAATAAAAATAATAAATCTAATTCTAAAAGATAGTGCAACATCCAATTAAATTATATTACAAATAATCAATAAAAAATATTTATTTTTTTAAATATTTATAAAAGATCCTTTAAGGGGCTTTAAAGATATTTTCAGGATTGTCTCTGATTGTGTCATTTAATGATCCTGAAGTTGTTTCGACTTGAGTTGTTGTGATCCAAATAGATGTGGTAAAAAGGAGTAATGGATTTCATTCCTTTAATTCTCTAATCTCTATGTGAGCGTGAAGTCACTTGTTGATGAAGGCTTGAATCGCAATTTGAAACTTGTCTTTTAGAAGTTTGGTCTTAACCTGTGTGATTGGACCAAGTGGAAGAGTTAGTCTATCTTCCTTTTACATGTGACATGTGGTGCATGTATCACATTTAGTGAGACCGTGATTCTGAATAGTTTGAGGAAGCTAAGCATAAGTTGTGTATCGACTATATCTATTCAAATTATCTAGAACCGTGCCTCATTAGAGCTTTATACCTATTCAAGGGATTTGACATAGTGGTCTACTATCTCCGTATTTATTTGTGCTTTGTATGAAGAGATTGACACAAACTATTTATATTAAGGTTTAGAACGAGTATTGGAAGCCAATTAAAAATGGTCAAAAATGGTCATGCATTATCTTATCTCTTCTTTACGGATGATCTTGTTATTTTTGTGGGAGATAATGCTTTTACAACTCGATGCCATGCGGAGGGTACTCTGAGATTTTGCGATAGCTTTAGGCAAAAAGTAAGCCTTGCGAAAATTAATATTTTCTTTTCGTACATTGTTGATGTAGTTGTTAGAGTGGATGTTAGTGATGAGTTTCGGTATACACAAGTTGATGATCTTGATCAAAAGTACATTGAAGTTCCTTTGTTCCGTCGACGAGTAACGCGAAGCACCTATAATTATTTAGTCCAATGAATTCAGGATAGGTTGTCAAGTTGGAAGGTGAAGATTTTATCATTGGCTGGTCGTGAGATTTTATCATACCATAGTCAATATATTAATGTCTAACTTAGATGACCGTCAATTTTTTAATAGAAAGTGACGTATTTGAAACATATGAATAATTGAGTGATCATTTTGTAACTTTTAATAGTCAGTGATTTAATAAAGCAACACCCCTATAATTGATAGACTATTCTATAAATTTTAATAATTAAGGGATTCGAAAAAGTAGCGTTTTATAATTGGGAAACATTTGAATACTTAGCCTTAAAAATATACTTTTTTTAATTCAATTTATAAACCATATTTTTATATATATATTATAAATTACAATAACTTAATATGTGTTATATTTGTTTTTTTGTTATATAGTAATGATAATTTTTGGGTACAAATATAGTAATGATATCTAAAGTATTTGATATTATATAATTTTTATTATTTTAATGATTCAGTTATATAAAATTAGGGTCCGTTTATTTCACTGAAAATATTTTCCAGAAAATGTTTTCCGTAAAATGAATTACATCTTTTGAAAAATATTTTCTGAAAAACATTTTATGGTGTTTGGAAGATGTTGTGTAAACTATTTTTTACTATTTGATAATTTTTTTAGAAATTATTTATTGCAAATATAAAATATAATAAATAAAATTATGTATTATAAAAAATAATATTATTTATTTTAAAAATATTATAATTATTTATTTAATACTACTTATGTCAATATTATTATTAAAATATTATTTCTATAATTTTATAAATAAAAATATTAACTCTAGTATATTCTATTAAAACAAAAATATGATAAATTATATTGAATATCTATAAAAATTAAAATTAAAATATTATATTATATTTTAAAATTATTAATAAATATATTTAAGGAATTTTATAATATTATTATACTATTATATTAATATTAAATACATAAATAAAAGTATTCACTATTAATAATTCAATAATATTATTTTTAAGAAATTAATAAATAATATAAATTTTATTAATAATTTATTATATATTATTAAAATAAGAATATAATAGTATCTTGTATTATTATAATATAATAATATAATTGAGTATATTATTGTAATAATAATAATATTATATTATTAAAAATATTAACAAAATATATTTTAAATATGTTAATAATTAATATTTTTATTAAAATATACTAAAATATCATGTTGATATTAAATTTATAAAATAATATCATGTTGATATACTAAAATAATATTATAATATATTTTAAATGTGAAAAGTTTGGAAAATGACTTACGGAAAATTAAACCGTAAGTCATTTTCCAAAAAATGTAAATGAAATTTTGTTTATTAGGAAAATGTTTTACATTGATTAATCTGTTTTCCTCAAATCAAAAATTGAAAAGTGAGGAAAACATTTTTCGAAAAATAATTTACGTGAAACAAACAGACTCTTAATGTACTAGTTCATCGATATTTGGTATATAATATAATATTATATTATATTATATTTGTATGAAAGTAAGTAATGTGTAAATCACATGGTTATCAAAATCGGATCGGTCAGTTCAACCGGTTGAACCATGAACCGGTGGTCTGTCAGGTCCGATTACCTCACAAAACCGGATTGGTAATGAACCGGTTGAAAACCGGTAAAACCGAGGTGAACCGTTTGAAAACCAGCAAAACCGGTTTGAACCGCTGGTTCACTTTTTTTCTTTAAAAAAAATTAAACCAAACGACGTCATTTGTTCAACGAGCCGAGTTAAATTCGAGTATTGTTGAGCTTGACTCGAACTCGAAAACTTTAAAAGTAAGCTCAACTCGACTCAAAAACTCACGAGCTAAAAATTAT